GTCACACACTTGAGGTATTCGGCCAATCACAACGCACTGGATAGCTGGCCAATCAACGTACACCTCACTTTTCAGACCGATGAGCTTTGTAAAAATCGACGCGTTTCAGAAAGGCGGAGCATAGAGGAGCAACAATAATGTACATTATGTGGAAAATAATGTGTTTTTTAACCTTAAACCGCATAAATGCATTACACCAAATACACAACATAATGTTCTTTTTAGCAACATCATATGACCCCTTTAAGTATTTCTAAGGGGAAGTTGTTTGCATGCAAGTTGCTCTTTACATAATGAAATGAAGGTGGAGTGACCATGTATCTTTGGTGGCAGGTCGTTTTCAAGCAGCTGAGCGCAAATACACAACATAATGTTCTTTTTAGCAACATCATATGACCCCTTTAAGTATTTCTAAGGGGAAGTTGTTTGCATGCAAGTTGCTCTTTACATAATGAAATGAAGGTGGAGTGACAATGTATCTTTGGTGGCAGGTCGTTTTCAAGCAGCTGAGCAAGTGGACCAGTGGAAGGCCAGTGGCCCGATGGAGCAGAGTTTTATGGACATCCGCTCAATGTGGACCACTAGAGATGTCTCCTTGAGAGTCCACAGCGGCTTCAGGTGTGCTTTAAACATCTGGTTTTAAATGACACTTTATTTTCCAATAAATCTGCAAAACTGCTTTCGACTTCAACTTAAATGGGTCGTTCTATACATAAGGTGCCTTCTTGATTGGAAAAAGTTGAAAGATCCGATTTTTTAAATAAATCAATATGAATGAGAATCATGATAATGGAATGTGGCATAACAGGGTGGGAACAAGGGAAGGTTTCTTTAAAAATAAATTACATTACTTCCATTGTATACATAAAAAAAGATTTCTATACAAAATAATGCATTATTTTGATTCTGACCTATTCTAGTCTAAAGGAGCTGAACCTATCAGGGTTCAGACAAAGTTTAAAGGCCAAACTTTAGATTTGTGATGTTGTGCTTGTTCAGTGGCTGACTTTCTATCCAAGACCCATAAAAAATATTTTAGTTTTTAAATGTATTTTCCCATATTATTCGGCCTCCGCAGTCTAGATTGTGTCAGACAAGCAGGCTATGGTGAATTTTTTTTTAAAAAGATCTTAAATCAAGAAGAGTTTAAAAGCTTCTTACTAATTGTTTCCTAATTGAATTTCCCTCAAATGTTGATGATGTTATAGTTGGAGAAGTTAATGTTTTATAGTCAGCGGTTAGTATTTATGAACATATTATATACCAATTAACACAAAAGATTTTGTGTTGGTGTAAATACAATACCGTTCAAAAGTTTGGAGATTTTTAAAAATGCTTTTGAAACAAGTTTCTTATGCTCACCAAGGCTGCATTTATTTGATATGGTACAGTACAAGTAAATGATTACAATTTAAAATAGCTGTTTTCTATTTTAATATATCTTGAAATGTAATTTATTCTTATGGCAAAGCTGAATTTTTAGCAACCATTACTCCAGTGTCACATGATCCCCCAGAAATCATTCTAATATGCTGATTTGGTGCTCTAGGAATTATTATTATCAGTTGAAAATGGTTGTGCTGCTTACTATTTTTGTTGAAACTGTGAGACTTTTTTTTCAGGATTCTTTGTTGAACAAAAACATAACTTTGTTTTTTAAATAAAATAAAAGTGTCTTTACCGTCACCTTTGATCAATACATCCTTGCTGAGCAAAATAATTCATTTTTCTTTCAAAAATAATCACACTGACAGCCAAATGCTGGTGTAAATCTGTGGAAAGACTTTCTTCTAAACCCTGACTGTTGTTACTGCACAGGGTGATTGGCCTGTTTTCTCATGGCTTCCTGGCTGGTTATGCTGTGTGGAATATCATTGTGGTCTATGTTTTGGCTGGGGAACAGATGAGCACTCTTTCCAACCTACTGCAGCAATATCACCCCCTGGCCTACCCCGCACAGTCCCTACTCTACCTGCTGCTGGCCCTCAGCACTGTTTCTGCCTTCGACAGGTGAATCGCCAAACCATAATGCCTTTTCACTTGGACTAATAGAAACAAAAGTAGAGTAAACACAGTAGCCACAAGTGTTTGTAGATGCCTGAACCCTTGAGATAAAACTAGTGTTTGTTCTCTCTCCTAACAGGTTGAATCTTGCCAAAGCTGCTACAGCCATGAGGAGTTTAGTGACTCTCAGTCCTGTGGCACTTGCCTCGTTCTGTGAGTTTATCACGTTTCTTTAAAAAAAATGGATTACAGAAGCCAAATATGAAAACAACAATGTTTTAATATACACCTTTTCTTTTTCAGTGTACTTTTCTGCCCTTGTTTTATCATTAAGCCAGCAGATGACGAGTGATCGCATCAATCTCTATAATCAGTACTCCAGCTATAATGTGACACTCTGGTAAGAGCCCTCTCATTAGAGCATGCTGGGTAAATACTGTACAGTAATAAGAACCAAGCGGTTGTTGTGTCTCCTCACAGGCAGCCGGGCTCAGAGCGCAGCATCCTTCATCCCTGGATCATAGTAAACCTGGTGGTCACTTTGCTGGTCGGGCTGGCCTGGGTTCTGATGTCAACAAGTCCAGATCTCGACCACACAGAAGGTAAATGCTACAGGATGTTGAAGCTCAGAGAGCAGTCTTCTGCTCACGTACCAACATCTTATCCGATGGTTTGAACGGTAGTGGACGGTGTATATTGCACATTTTGTAAAAAACAAAACAAATAAGAGTTGTAGGTACATACCATACAGTATTCATTCTGAAAACATCTTAAAGTTAGAAATTAAACTTGCATTAATATTACATGCATGTTTTTTTCCCCTCTGTAGAGTTTTTAATGTCAATGGAAATGGAATATAAAAATAAAAGCAGAAGAGAAGGGAAACATCACTGCATAAGGCACCTACAGGCAGTTTTTTCTACTATATTTTGATACATGGTTGTAGATTTGTCATATATATACACACACACACACACACACACATATATATATACATATATATATATAATAGAAATGCCAAACACTTGCCTATTGTAAGGTCTTAGCAATAAAATTTTTTAAGTAAATCATTCTTTTGTCTGATTGATACAAGTGATCGCTCAAGAGGCCACATTTTTTTGTAATTTTATTAACGTCACACTGGAGCGGGCTGAGGGCGAGGTTTGGCCCGCTGTATTAAAACAGCCACCACAAGCCCACAGACACCAAATACAGTGAGAGCTCCTGCCGCCCATAATCCATAATCCAATATCTGTGGGACTAGAAGAGGCAAACATTTCCAGGTCGAAGATAGTTGCATGGGTCATTCACTATATGAATGTTAACAAGTAACACAGCGAGTTCATACCTTCCTTATCAGCAAGATTTGCCTCGGAAACCGGCAAATGGGATAGAAGTATGACCTCCCCACTCGAAACTACAACTGTTTCCTCAGAATCCTTCAAGTCTTTTGGAAAATACAGGAAAATAAAATAAATAAATAAATGTTTATTAAATAATGTCATAATCAATAATAATAATAATATTATTATTATTACTATTATTATACTATTAAATGTTACATTATTTTAATTGTTTTCAATTAATAATTTAACAGTTAATAATGTTGTTTTTGATCATGATTAATATTTATTAAATGTTAAATTATTGTAATTAATTTGATTACATTTGTTATTTTTTATTATTATTATGATTAATTAATAATAAACGACAACCAATATGTATGAATAAATATAATGATAATAATGATAATACATATTTGTTAATAATAATAATAATTCTTATTATCATTATTCAATTATTGTAATTATTGAAAATGTGCATTTATTAAATAATAATATTATATTATTATTATTATTATTAAACCAATATGCATTATTATTCATAAATATTAAGAAATAATAATAAAATATATTAATATTGCTTCTAATAATAATTATATTACTATTATCATTTCTTAATATTTATGAATAATAATGCATATTGGTTCAATAATAGTTTAATTAATAATTTAACAGTTAATAATGTTGTTTTTGATCATGATTAATATTTATTATTAAATGTTAAATTATTGTAATTAATTTGATTATTATTACATTTTTATTTATTATTATTATTATTATTATTATTATTAATTAATAATAAACTACAACCGATATGTATTATTAATAAATATCATGATAATAATGATAATACATATTTGTTAATAATAATAATAAATATTATTATTATTATTATAATTGCAATTGTAATGGAAAATGTGCATTTATTACATAATAATAATAATAATTATTATTAATATTATTTAACCCATATGCATTATTATTCATAAATATTAAGTAATAATAAAAGTTATTAATATTGCTTATAATAATAATTATATTACTATTATTATCATCATCATCATTTCTTTATATTTATGAATAATAATGCATATTGGTTGAATAATAATAGTTTTCAATTAATAATTTAACAGATAATAATGTTGCTTTTGATCATGATTAATATTTATTATTAAATGTTAAATTTGTAATTGAGGATTATTATTAATACATTTGTTTTTTTATTATTATTAATTAATAATAAACGACAACAAATATGTATTATTAATATCATGATAATAATGATAATACATTTGTTAATAATAATAATAATATCATTATTCAATTATTTAAATGTTTGAAAATGCGCGTTTATTAAATAATAATAATTAATATTATTCAATCGATATGCATTATTATTCATAAATATTAAAAAATAATAATAGTTTTTAATATTGCTTCTAATAATAATAATAATAATATTACTGTTATTATTATTATTTCTTAATATTTATGAATAATAAATGCATATTGGTTGAATAATAATAATGGTTGATAATTGTTATTATTAGTAGCAATATTAATAACTATTATTATTATTATTATTATTATTCACCGCAATATCTTGAATCAATAGGTGTACTCACTTGTCCTGTTGCCACAGCTGGGCTCACATGACTCAGTGGTGGAGGGGTGGCAAACAGACATAGTGCAGTGAATAAAAATCTGGTAAAGACATGGCAGAGGTAAATAAGTGAGAGCGAAGGAGAAATGTGGTGGGCAAGACAGTACATACCCTTTTCTGCAGAGGCACAAGCGAGGACTGATCTACAAAAGTGAACATCTTCACAACAAAGCGTTTGTAATGAGATGGGTACTGCAGTCCTAAGTGTCCAACAGCAAGCATTGTGGTCAGGTGATGGTCATCCTTATATGGACAGCTATGAAGAGTAATAAGAAAACCAGTGATTTGCATAATTTGAGGCTGTTGTTTTGGAATTGAACAAAATGCCCACATTCCCTTAAACTTATTTCGATAAATTGGGGAAGAGGAGTTGCTATGAAAGAATTCAGGTTTACCCATTTAGCAAAAGCTCCCACTGAGGCAGACTCATGGGTTCAGGATTAGAAGTGGCCCAGCAGTGGTCTAGGACCAGGATAAGGTTTGGATCAGTCCTCTCCAGAATCTGCACCTCCACATACACAGGTTCTCTCAACACTTTAGTAACAGGGTAGTCTGCCTCAGAGTAGTACGAGGTGTGCATAGCCTCTTCAATACACAAAAGAGAATATTGAATTAATTAACTGCATCCCGATGTACAGTGATAGTCATCGACCTGGTAATGAATGAATTCCATATTAGTAGTATTCAAGGTAATTTTACAGTACCCATATTTCAATATTAATAATAATAATAATAAGAAGAAGAAATGTTTCCTGAGCAACAAATCAGCATATTAGAATGATTTCTGAAGGATCATGTGACACTGAAGACTGGAGTAATGATGCCATCACAGGAATAAATTAAATTTTAATACCTTAAAACAGAAATAAGTTATTTTAATTGTAATAATATTTCCCAATATTACGCTTTCTACTGTATTTTTTGATGAAATGAATGCAGCCTTTGTGTGCATAAAAAACTTTTCAAAAACAAAGCAACCATCTAACCTGTATTAAGAAATTACCATTACTTTTGTAACGTGCCCTTGTATTTTAACACATTTCTGTAATGTTTTGGGTCCTGGAGAACAGTCAAAAACTAATATTTCTAGATTTTTGGGGACCTTGTACTTATTTGACCAGGAACATTTCAGGATGACGTGGCAAAATATGTGCTTGAATGAAATAAAACTCTAGTTTACTAGGTAAGCCACATTTGCAAAACATGACTCTTATTGGTTATGTTGTGAAATTTGAATTTCTGGATTCTGCTCACCATCAGAGCATCCTTTAGTAGTGCACTGTCCATTGGCGAGCCTGAGCTCCACTCTGAGCGGGCCATTCTGAGAGACAGGGGGGGGAGGAGGAACCGTATTCACCTCCACCACCAGAGCCTCAACTGCTGATCCCGAATACCTGCACTGGAACTTCAGCCTTCAAGACACAGACGGGAAATACTGGGCCCCCTTCCGCTGATTGTTACCAAAAACTTTAAAGGTGGGGTATGTATTTTTTCAAAAACGCTTTAGAAATCTGAGTCGGGCCGAGTACCAAAACAAACTTCAATCAGCAGTAAGGGGCGTGTCTACTCATGATGTGGAGGAGAGAGCGCCCAGTGCACAGAACAGACATTAGCCGAGCCGAGCGACAGAAAGATAGAGATGGCGGATAAAAACCAAAAAAGAGGAAAAAGTCTGCGGAACAAAAGAAGGCTTACGATAAGGCAAGAAGTAGGACCCATATCCTTCATAACCCATAAATATCGGATCAGCTTTCCGCTGGAGAGAACTCGAGGAGCGGAAGGCCTGCGATTGGACGCCAAGGTTGCTTTGTTTCTTCTCGATAGGCGAGTAACACCGTGTCTACACTGGACGCGATAAAGCGTCCGTTGAAAATCATTTGAAATTTGTCAATATGTCATAAGTAGAACGCAGCAGCAGTTTTCTGTCGGGGATTTGTCGTGTCGCGCCACATCCAGTGTAGACAGCATCACTGATTATAATAAGTTCTATAGTATTTTGTAGCGCCGCTTGCGTCCGGTGGAGACACAATGTAACATTGGTAGCCAATCAGCAGTAAGGGGCGTGTCTACTCAGAGAGAGCGCTCAGCGCAAAGGACGAAAATTAGCCGAGCCGACCGATGACAGAAAGATAGAGATAGCGGATAAAAAACAAAAGAGGAAAACGTCTGCGGAACAAAAGAAGGCTTACGATAAGGCAAGAAGTAGGACCCATATCCTTCATAACCCATAAATATCGGATCAGCTTTCCGCTGGAGAGAACTCGAGGAGCGGAAGGCCTGCGATTGGACGCCAAGGTTGCTTTGTTTCTTCTCGATAGGCGAGTAACACCGTGTCTACACTGGACGCGATAAAGCGTCCGTTGAAAATCATTTGAAATTTGTCAATATGTCATAAGTAGAACGCAGCAGCAGTTTTCTGTCGGGGATTTGTCGTGTCGCGCCACATCCAGTGTAGACAGCATCACTGATTATAATAAGTTCTATAGTATTTTGTAGCGCCGCTTGCGTCCGGTGGAGACACAATGTAACATTGGTTTTGCTGTGTTTCACAGAACTAATCGTTGCCTGGGTTGCGTACGTATGTGTGGGGCGGAGCTATCAAAATAGGGGCGATACCCTTTTGGGGTAGGGGCGTGTTTGTTTTGGTGATTTGAAATATCAACATTGGCTACCAGAAATCACTTACCCCACCTTTAACATAAAAACAGATGAGCCTCCTCACTCATAAGAACTGTCCCTCGTAATTGATCCACGTAATTGGTCCAATGCCCACTTCATACACGGATGACATCATGTTCTCATAAATAACAAAACCGCTTTCTTCCTGAAGGATATAATGGAGGACAAATAATAGTGACCATAGGGTAAACTAAAACAGTGATGCAACAATGTCATGCTCTTTCTCCCCCATGATTAATAACATGCTCAAAGGCCATGCTCATACCCACCTTCATTCTGGTGCCACAGGAGCCAACAGTAAACTGATAGATGGCAAAGCTGGCAGTGCTGCCGACAGAAGCGCAGTGGCCACTGGGGTCATTCTCCAGCATGTGGATGGAATCTAAACTGATGCGTGGCATGGTAGCATCTCGAGCAACCACCAATACAATCTGCCCATCTCTCGTGCACTGCAGAGTAACTGGAACAAACAGGAAAAGATTACTTGAATGTAATGTTTTGCACAATTGGAGGTATTATACAGTTACAGCGCTTAAATAATATATTTTTTTATATTTAATGCATAGTAACCATAGTTTTATTGTGGTATTTGGAGTAAACCTATAGTAATCGCCAGAAAATCCATGGATCACAACTCATAACCATGATTAAATCAATGTAGATGCTATCTATAAAATAAAATGATATTTATGAAAAAATTGTCTAAAACACTGCTATAGATGTCAAATGAATTTATTCCCACTAGTAGTTTGGAATAATTATGATTATTTACTGTATTTGAAAGAACTAGCTTATGCTCACAAGGACTGCATTTATTTGATAAAAAAATACTATAAAACAGTAATATTGTGAAATTGCAATACATTCCTTTATTAATTTCTCTCTTTTTTTATATAAACGTACTTACTCCAAATATTTGAATGGTAGTGTATCACAGTTTTCACAGAATAATAAGCTGCAAAAACGGTTTTCAACATTGATAATAATAATAAATGTTACTTGAGCACCAAATCAGCATATTATAATGGGTTCTAAAGGATCACGTGACACTGAAGACTGATGAAGTAGCCGCAAAATAAATAAATAAATAAATTAGCAAGCTTTGATTTTATATTGTAATAATATTTCACAATTATTGCTGTTTTTAAAGCATATACATCTTTAAAAAAAAAAAAAAAAACGTAATTATTCCAAACCTACTGTACGCCAGTTAGGTTTACTCTGTTACTATTACTGTAAAATGATGATTAATGTTTAAAAACATAATAAAAGCACTATGGTAATGCCAATTATAGTTGCACCGTGATATCCTATGAAGCGCGCGCACACACACACACACACACACACACACACACACACGCAACGTTACGTACTTTTTCCTGTGTGTCACATTTAAAGTTCATTACGAGCCTAATTATCATTAGCTCCGCCCCCTTAATTATAAACAAACTCATAATATGATAAAAAAAAATGCTTAGTCACACATTTTAGAAAAACGACTATTTATAATTAAAATAAACAACTCGTATTACAAAAACACATTAATAAAGGAGGGACACTAATGATTTATATTAACCCGTTTAGGCACACGTGAGTACTAAATAGTAATAATGGAAGGTGTGTTGGTTAAAATAAAATCCAGGCTGTACTAAACAGATTTAAAATAAATATCCCTAAACAACAACGCTCTGCGATGGATTGGTTTAGCCTTGTTCACAGGATGTGTAGTTGAGTACCGACCTACAGAGGCGCAGGTTTCTGATGGCTACACACACACACACACACACACACACGCAACGTTACGTACTTTTTCCTGTGTGTCACATTTAAAGAGTTCATTACGAGCCTAATTATCATTAGCTCCGCCCCCTTAATTATAAACAAACTCATAATATGATAAAAAAAATGCTTAGTCACACATTTTAGAAAAACGACTATTTATAATTAAAATAAACAACTCGTATTACAAAAACACATTAATAAAGGAGGGACACTAATGATTTATATTAACCTGTTTAGGCACACGTGAGTACTAAATAGTAATAATGGAAGGTGTGTTGGTTAAAATAAAATCCAGGCTGTACTAAACAGATTTCAAATAAATATCCCTAAACAACAACGCTCTGCGATGGATTGGTTTAGCCTTGTTCACAGGATGTGTAGTTGAGTACCGACCTACAGAGGCGCAGGTTTCTGATGGCCGTTTATGAGATTTGTAAATTATTCCATTCCTTTTTTACTCACAATTTGTACAGTGTCCCAACTTTTTTGGAATTGGGTTTGTATAAAGTAGCATTTATTGCCATACCAAATGTTTTTTATTAACCGTGACGGAAAGAATACAAATCCCCTTTTATGCATATTATTATTATGCATGCTTTTTCTAACGCATATATTTGTACCCTTTCCTCAGCGGATTCCTTTGAGACAATGCTCAAGTCGTTGCTGGGTTACCAGTCAGGTTCAGGAGTGGGAATGACAGAGTCGATGATAAGGAAAAAAGTGTATGAGGGAGCGATCAATAAAACCCTGGAGAACAACTTCCCTCTATTGCTTCAGGTCTGTTCAGGAGTGTTTATATATATGTATATGTATATGTATATATATATATATATATACATATATACATATATATATCACTAGTTCAGGATTTCACTATTAGGACCAACAACAAAGTTCTTCTCTTCATTGCATAAATCTAACTGACCCAGTGATATCTGTCTTAAAGTAAAGTTCTTGAATTCTTTTTGATATTAAACCATAGGTGATTTGTTTTTGTTCGTATAATAAACAAAACTGAATATAATGAACAGTCCCTATTTTTAAACGTGTTATCCCTCTCTTACAACTCTGCCATTGTTTTAGCTGGTGGAGGAGCTGGTTGATAAGTGGGCATCTTATCCTAAATCACAGCACACGCCTCTTTGTGCTCATCTGCTTGGATTGGCTATGAAGGCTGTCACTCAGCTTGCCATGGGGAGTCGCTTTGGGGATGAAGCTGAGATCATTCGGTTCCGTAAGAACCATGAAGCGGTGAGCATTCCTCACTAGTTATATTTAGTGTCATGCTTATGAATATTATTATTATAAAATGTGATATTTTACATGTAAATGCAAATATTTCTGGATTTGAATAGATCTGGTCAGAGATCGGTAAAGGTTATCTGGATGGATCCCTAGAGAAGAGTTCTAGCAGAAAGGCCCGTTATGAGAGTGGTAAGAAGGCAGCTGAGCTACATTTGAAAGTGTTGACCTTATTTTTGATTGTTCAATGTCAATTGATCATGTGGTTTTGTTATTTTCAGCTCTGGCTGAGATGGAGTCAGTGCTGAAGTCTGTGGCAAAGCAGAGGAGTGGACAAGGATCCAGTCAGTCATCTTTTGTTAACTATTTACTACAGGCCAATCTGACAGAGCGACAGGTAGCATCATCTCAACACTGAACGATTCATTTTCAAATTGAGATACTACTATTTATATATTTATGCATGAATTATAAACAAACAGTTATTAAATATGTTTTGCTGTTCCTCAGGTGATGGAAGATGGTATGGTTTTTACTCTAGCTGGCTGTGTGATCACTGCTAACTGTGAGTTTCAATTTCTTCTTTCTAGCTGGCATAGCTTCAGTGTTATTTTAGTATTGTATGGTATTATAGTTTTTTATTAACATTAGCTTTTGTTTTTATATTTTACGTTTTCAATTTAATTTTAGATTAATATTTTGTATTTTTATGGTGTGGCTTTATAATTTTTTTATTACTTTTTGGTTATTACTATTTAGCTTTAATTTATTTTTATTCCAGTTTTAGTTCGATTTTTTTCCAGTTAGTAATGTTAGTGCTTCACCTTAAACTTTTCTAAATTTAGTTTATTTTACTTTTTTCATCTAATAATTCAATTAACAAACATGTTTTTAATAGTTTTAGTTTTAGTTAATAATAATAACATTGTGTAGCTTTTAAAAAAAAATTTTTTTTACCATCATGTCTGTATTTTTGTTATTCTTATACATCATTTATGCCTGTTCTTATCTGTATTATTTCCCAGTGTGCATCTGGGCAGTTCACTTCCTATCAGTCTCAGAAGCAGTGCAGGAACGTCTCTATCATGAGCTTGTTGAAGTGCTCGGAGAGGAACCGGTTACCTTGGAGAAGATTCCACAACTTAGGTGAGCGCCAGTCATAGCTTGTGATATAATTCTGTTAGTATTATCCATATGGTATTTACATTTATTGATTTAGCAGATGTAAAATCAAGTGACCCAAATGTGAAAAAAGGTTTACATATGACGAAATTAATAGTACTTTTTTCCCTTCTTTTTTTAATAATCTTTTTTTTTTTTTAAAGAGCTGTTTTGGTCAAGAGAGATGGGTTTACAGTATGTATATGCTTAAAGGGATAGTTCACCCAAAAATTTTAATTTGATGTTTATCTGCTTACCCCCAGTGCATCCAAGATGTAGGTGACTTTGTTTCTTCAGTAGAACACATATGATGATTTTTAACTTTAACCGTTGCAGTCTGTCAGTCGTATAATGCATGGCAATGGTAACAAAATCTATGAGAGTAAAAAAACAAACATGCACAGACAAATCCAAATTAAACCCTGCGGCTCGTGACGACACATTTGATGTCCTAAGACACGAAACGATCGGTTTGTGCCAGAAACCGAACAGTATTTATATAATTTTTTACCTCTAATATACCACTATGTCCAACTGTCTTTGAGCACGTGCAGGCATCTGGTGCGTGAGGTGTGTACGCGCTCTGGTGTAGTTTACGCAAGCGCTGGAAGTGATCTCTCGCGCGTATCCGTCACTCATTGTTTGCACAGTCATTGTAAGTACGATGGCTAATCAAAATGGTACTTACTTGCACTTATCCGGATTGTTCAAACCGACTTAAAACTAAAAGATTACGTTCTCTTGTGCAAACTCATTCGGGAGTAGTGACTTTCCACGTATTCCCAACTTCTGAGCCTGCTCGCCTGAAGTTATGGTTGATTGCTCTTCGGCTGGATATCAACACACCCATTAACATAAACTACACCAGAGCGCGTACACACCTCATGCACCGGATGCCGTGTGCGCGCCCAAAGAAAGTTGGACATAGTGGTGTATTAGAGATAAAAAATTATATGAATACTGTTCGCTTTCTGGCACAAACCGATCGTTTCGTGTCTTAGGACATCAATGTGTCGTCATGAGCCGCAGGGTTTAATTTGGATTTGTCTGTGCATGTTTTTTTTACTCTCATAGATTTTGTTACCATTGCCATGCATTATACGACTGATAGACTGCAACAGTTAAAGTTAAAAATCATCATATGTGTTCTACTGAAGAAACAAAGTCACCTACATCTTGGATGCCCTGGATAAGCAGATAAAAATCAAATTTTCATTTTTGGATGAACTATCCCTTTAAGGGTTTCCAACATTCTCCTGGGTTTACATGCGTAATGCTTTTTCTTTTCTTTCTACATTCTGGCCACCAGGTGACATATGTGTGTTAATTCTGTGATTTCCATAAAATAGTTAAAATTTATTCCACATGGCCATCACTTTGACTGGAAATCATGATTCTTGTTCACGTTTTCCCCCAGATACTGCCAGCAGGTGCTGAATGAAACGGTCCGCACAGCCAAACTGACGCCCATGGCTGCCAGACTGCAGGAGGTGGAGGGGAAGGTGGACCAACACGTCATTCCCAAAGAAGTAAGAACCTGCCTTTTTCATTACTAGGCCCACACACAAACTTAAAAACGCTCTGCAGGTTTCATTCATTATATCTAGTCTAGTCAATATAGAGAGTGCTGTGACCTATAATGTTAAAAATAACTCTGGTTGTATGTTTGTAGACATTGGTTATCTATGCCCTGGGTGTGGTCCTTCAAGATGCAGATACTTGGTCACTTCCATACAGGTGTGTTTGTGTGTGTTCATTTTATACAAGGTCGTGTAAGGTTCATGGTTTGTTTGCTGGTATTCTCACTGGTTTGTCTTCTTTGACAGGTTTAATCCTGACAGATTTGCTGATGAGTCAGTAATGAAGAGCTTCTCGCTGCTTGGGTTTTCAGGGAGCCAGGCCTGCCCTGAACTAAGGTACAATGAGAGAAATACAGATATTATCTTAAACTTTGTTATGGTTATTTATTTATATAATAAAGTAAAAAAATTAAGTTTATCATTTACTCACCCTTGTGTCCTTCCAAACCTGTATGAATTTCGTTTTTCTGTTGAACACAAAAGGAGACGTTTAGAAGAATGTTCAGGCTGCTCTACTTCATACAGCAAAAGTGAATGGGAATGCGGTCAGTCAGACTACAAAAATGACAAAAAGCCCCATAAAAGTAGTCTGTACGAGTCCTATTGACTAGTGATCCTCAACCTTTTTAATTCCAAGACCCTCATTGTCCACGACAAAATATTAAAGACTGTATATGTTAAAGGGTTAGTTCACCCAAAAATGAAAATTCTGTCATTAATTACTCACCCTCATGTCGTTTCAAACTTGTAAGACCTTCGTTCATCTTCAGGACACAATGGTGGTTCATCCGTAATTATACGAAGCTACGATAATACTTTTTGTGCGAAAAAAAACAATTAGTCTCCTCCGCATCACCCTGGTGCCATTTTGGAGAATATCCGCTGGACGTAAACAGCGTATGCTGTTCTGTGCCAAGAACTGAATGTTATTCAAGGATCACTCTCTTAATGAGCAATTAATGTACATTACTTTTTCAGTCATTTGTGATTACGAGAAGTTTTTTTTTTTACTCACAAATTCCAGTTTTTTAAATCAATCTGGACATAACTAGAAAAAAGTATAATCAGTATAAAAAATACAAACAATTTATTTATTATTATTATATTTGTTAATTTTCATGACTTTTACAGGTCTAAAAATCACACTTTTAAAATTCCCTATATATGCAGGTCTTCCAAGATTAATGGAAACCCTGGTTCATTCAAAACAAGGTTGTTGAGGGAATTAATTAAAATAAGAAATATTAGCTTGATTTCTTGTCTCTGTTTTTGCTTATTTTAAAGCTTGTGTTTGCCTTAATTTAAATCATTCTAAATCATTTTGAAGTGTGCTGAGCCCCCCAAGTGCACTCTGGCCCCTGGTTGAGAACCAATGCTATAAACGTATATGAATATATATATTTTTATTATTATTGTTTTGTCAAAGAAAAAAATGGGTTTTAATCCTCATGAGGCTGAGTAAATGATGTCCAGATTTTTCATTATTGGGTAAATTGTTCCTTTAAGAAACATTCAGATGTCACATAGTTCACAAATCTTCTCGCCCCATCCTTCCTCTCTTTAGATTTGCATACACTGTGGCCGCAGTGCTGCTCAGCACGCTGGTGCGCAGGTTGAGACTGCACAGAGTGGAAGGGCAGGTGGTTGAGGCCAGGTATGCGCTGGTGACCACACCCAAAGATGACACCTGGATCACAGTCAGCAAGAGGAACTGAAGGACTCATAGCTCACGTCCCTGAAATAGCCTCTTGGGAAATGTGAATTATGCATGGCCAATGTTATGTGCTCTATATCGTGTGTGGGACAGCAATTGATAAGATCAAAACAATGTCATTTAGAAATGGTCCAGGTTGTTAAAACTTTATGCCACTGTTTTTTTTTAGAGGTCATTCCCTCTGAATGTCACAGACATTCCATAAACGGTGATCAACATTGAATCGCAATCTTTTAACTGCAATCTTTCTATACTAATAAAATGTGATAAAAAAAGTATCTATCCATCTTTGCCAAATAATGAAACCATTCTGTTGTATAGAGCATTTTTGGGATACAGCAGAAAGACAAATAGGAAATAGCCTCTTGGGAAATGTGAATTATGCATGGCCAATGTTATGTGCTCTATCGTGTGTGTGGGACAGCAATTGATAAGATCAAAACAATGTCATTTAGAAATGGTCCAGGTTGTTAAAACTTTATGCCACTGTTTTTTTTTAGAGGTCATTCCCTCTGAATGTCACAGACATTCCATAAACGGTGATCAACATTGAATCGCAATCTTTTAACTGCAATCTTTCTATACTAATAAAATGTGATAAAAAAAAGTATCTATCCATCTTTGCCAAATAATGAAACCATTCTGTTGTATAGAGCATTTTTGGGATGCAGCAGAAAGACAAATAGAAAGGAACATAGGTGTAGGAGGAAAGAGAACTGTGAATGTGAAAGAGAGGGAGGGGGGTAATGTGATGGTGTTTTCCTCCTGCGTGCATCAGTGAGGGAGAGGGGAGTGTGATGGTGGTGTTTTCCTCCTGCATGCATCAGTAAGATGTGAAGATGGCGGAGCTGCAGATGCTGTTGGAAGAGGAGATTCCTGCTGGTCGAGGAGCTCTGCTGGACAGCTACGCCAACCTAGAGAGAGTCGCCGAGTACTGCGAGAGCAACTACATACAGGTGACATTACAAAACGTTGAAGACATCCTAGACAAGGCCAGATACAGGATGAGAAATGACACGAGAGATAAATGATCCGACTGCTTGTGTTGTCGAGTGACAATGCAGCCGTGCGGACTGAATTCATCGCGTATTATTATTGCTTGTAATTCATACTGGTTTATATTACACTAATTCAACCCTTAACACACTTTATATGCGTTTTGTTGCATATTTTCAGTGGTTTTGTACAGAAATGGGGCCTCAAACGCTGAGCTAGTAGGCTAACGATCTAGCCGAGGCGAAACCAATGAGTAAACTTCAGTTGTATCACATCAAAAGACAGTTTACTTTCCCTCTTTTTAAATTTAGTATGAATTTATTAGTTTTATATGCCTAATTAAAACAGCGTGATATGATTTAAAGTGGTGTATTAATGTGTAATAGCGTTTGTGAAGATCTTTTAATCAAAGCAGCGCAGTGTTTTTGAAGTTAGCTCTGCTGCTAAATGCTGGGGGCTTATGGACTGTTTTGATTTGATAAATTAGCTTTTTAGTGTAATTATCTAGTGATGTTAGTGTTTTTACAGGTTTGCTATTATTAGGGTGTTGTTTGTTAGTTTATTGTCGAGAGCGAATGTGTACAAGTAATAGTTATCTGTGTGTATTTTGATACTATCGCGTTTAATCATTTGCATTTTAGTAATCGCGAAATTTTACTATAGTATACATGATTAACTGTGGTATCTTCATGACAAATATGGTAGTTATAGTTTTTAAAAATCTGCTTTTTGCCAATAAATACCGCTTTGTTAGTTATGTTTGTTTAATCATGGTAATGTAGTGTTTGCTTACTATGATATTACACAATTACCATAGTTAAATTCGAGCTACTATGCTAGAACTATGGTAAATGCAGTTTTTCCTGCTAGCATGAGTTTGATGATTCACTGGGACGATAAAATGAATGACTAAATTCGTGTTATTTTCAGCATTCCTGGGGGATCCACAGAAGTGGGTGTGTAAGGATCTGTACTTCTCTGTTTAGTGTTTGTCATCCCTCAGAAATAGAGCATCAGAAATAAAACTTTTGACATTCATTGCTCCAAAAATACAGAGCGTGTCACATGGACCCCGGCAGATCAGTGACTGGATGTCACTGGAAAATGAGTTTGTTCTCTGTGTTTGCTGATTCCAGTACTTTTGAGTCGTGATGTATTCCTGATAAATATTGCATACTTGACTAGCATTTGCCGGCCTGCTAAAGCTGAAGGGTTAGAGTTTAAGAGTGAGAGCTCACAGTTGTAGAGATGCTAAACAGGTTTTGCGTTGTGATTTGACTCAGGGGGGTCTCAGTTCATATTGTACCTGATTCAGGCTCAGGAATCGTGCAGAGCACACAGTGATGCTCTATGAATGCATTTTGTTACGTCATCTGTGAAGAAAGTCTGTTAGTTGTGAGCGAATTGTGAACATTGTATTTTTCTCATAACTTTGCCACAGTAGGTCCAGAAATACCATAAATAGCTTCTTGTGACCGAGCTTGGATTTCTTTCCATGGCAGCATTAAGCTCGGGTTGATATGAGTCTTGCTTGCATGTGGTCTGTGGTCTGGGTTTAGTTTAGTATGTAACCCGATATTTCCCACTTCCTCAATTCATGCATATTGCATACAGATATGTTAGTGAATTCAGACTGGTTCTCATTCTTGTCGGGAGGTTTTTTGCACAAATAAGCCCGGCGATCACATTTGTTTTTTGTTTTGGGAAGGCCATATTAATAGATAATTGTTGCATTATTTTGCACGTGTCATGGTCATATATAGAAAAGTTACATTTGATAGAAACATTAGTGCGTTTTGAACCTCTAGGGTTTTGTTGAATGAAATGGGGTCTGATATTTTCCTCAAAGCGTTATTGACAAAAGAAGGTTTTTATCTCAAGCTGACTCCCACTCTTCTTCAGTTGAACACAAAATGGCTAATATTTTAATCCATACATTAAAAATGGAGAAGATGACAGTTTTGAGGCCATTCCATACATAAAGCTTTCATATGGCTGTTGAAGACCTGAAATATAGTGCACAAACTAGGGTTGTGCCGGTAGACGATAGTATCGTGTATCGACAATAGTTAGAGATATTGCCTGTTGCATTGATGATATAAAGAAAGTAGTAATTATTATTATCAGGCTAGAATTATTATCTAATTACTATTAGGGCTTATTTGTTCCATCATATTTATTTTCCCGCGGTTTTAGAGTGTTGTGCGTTATAACCAATCACACACGATTCCGTTGAGTTTCTGAATGTATTAGCCAATCAGAAGCATTCAGATGAGTCATTGCTGATACACCGGAGTTTTGTTATTCAGTGCACATGCTCGCTGAATGCTACTCTTTCGTGAATTGACTGAAATTTGCCCTATATGCACGGTTACTTCCTGGTTTTAGATAACTGAGCTCAGTAATTTCCGGTCAACTATCAAAATCAACTGTGCCATAAGGAGAGTGTCCTTTGCTCGGTTTCTCTACATAATACATTCACAATTTGAAGAAAAGTTTTGTTTGTCTAAGACAGGGGTGTCAAACTCAATTCCTGGAGGGCCAGAGCACTGCAGAGTTTTGGTCCAACCCTGCTCCAACACACATACCATGTAGTTCTCAAATAAGCATGAAGGACTTGATTAGTTAGACCAGGTGTGTTTAATTAGGGTTGAATCTAAACTTTGCAGGGCTCTGTCCCTCCAGGAATTGAGTTTGACACCCCTGGTCTAAGAGGACCAAACGTCCTCGTATACAGTTACAGGAATGACAAACGTGAGTGCAAAATAATTAAGTGACTGAATCCGCTACATTGTGCCTTGAGTCAATGCTGTGATTGACAGTGATAAAGCAACGGATGGAACAAAAGAGCTGACAAACCGCTGTCAAAAATAGAGCTGTGCATTAAGTGATTCAGACTAAATTCAGAGTAACAAAACTACAGAAGCAACAAGTCTGTTGGCTGAATATATTTAGCAGCTTCTACAGTTAAAGATGTAGTTTTTAAATTAGGCTAAATCTTTAAATATTTCAAAATATTTAATGCATTATTATTTAATTGTTATACCATTAATAATTAACTTATTTAATTTGTAATTAACTAGTAAAGTATTTAAATAATTTACCCTTCTAGGCTGTTGGTGTCTGAGATTTATTTTTATTTTTTTTTAATTACGTGAGACTTAGTGACTTCCTGCACTTGATATACTGTATACTTCAGTACCGTAAAAGTACAAAAATTTGTTATAATAGTCATTTCATATTAAACCCAAATGAAGATGTAAAAAAAAATATGGGGAGTTGAAATGACAACTGCTAATGAGTGATCCTCTGCTGTCATCTACTGGTTAAATGGTAATTTCATGTCAGTTTCATCTTAAATTGGTTTCTGCCAGGAGACATTTTTGGAAAAATTTTTCATGTCATCTTTATGAATGAAAAGTGAATCTTTAATGTGAATTTTACTGCACAGCTGTAGAGTTGAGCAATGATTAAGGCTATAAAATATTAAAAGTGTTTTATAAATGTGTTCATGTCTATGAAGTTCAGTTATTGATTATCAAGAATACAATTATGATGTTGTTTACGAGATAGCATCGCTAGCTAACGTTAGCCTAAACAGTTACGATAGTGTTTAGTTGTCAGCATTTAGATGTACAATTATGTGTAGGTACTCTCCTGGGATTACCAGGCTCGGCATATAAAATGATATGATGTTAAATAACATGTCAATGCCGCTATCATTATTTACAGTGTTGCAATTATTTTGTTTCTCAGTTTCTGACAAGAACGAGGCAGGAGAGGTCTCTGTGAGGGTCTCAAGAGTCTCTACCTATATATACCACAACATCAAATGACGCTTTACCGGAAGTTTACGAGCTGGCTTATCTTAATGCGGAAGTTCTAAAGAACACTCCGTGCATATGGTCAATTGTCTCATCATAAACAACGAAGTGCAGATGTACGTGCGATGTAAGTATAAGAGATTTATTCATCATACAGTGTAGATAGCTTCATTGATTATAACGGGAGTGTTTTTTTAAAAGTGCATAAACTCACGCTAGACTGAAGTCAGTGATGTTCTTTGATAATGTAAATATTCTTTGCTCGTTTTCTGTAGCTGCTGTTTGAATAACTGAGGAAATGTAAGCATTAATATTAGTAACTTACAATGGTTTTTATCAAATTGTCATCATGTTAAAAACAAATTCAGTCATATGAAAAATATTTTATGATTGACATCCATATGCTACTTGACTAAAAAGATATAATGTGTAGTTAATAGATTACACTAACATTAGGCTACTTGTAGCCTTACCCTGGAGTTGGTTCACTCTCTGGCTATGAAATTCGGTAAGTAAATAAATAAATTAGCATGATAATATCGTGTATCGGCGATCTCAAAGGCTGACGATAGGACGAAATGACTGGAGCATATCGCCCAAAACTAGCACAAATACATACATTTATGATGTTTTTTTTAAGCTTGGCACTGGCAGAATAAATCACCATCCATTGTTGTTAAATGGAAAATAGCAGCTCAAACATTCTGCTTAACGTTTCCTTTTGTATTTCATGGAAGAAACAAAATAATATGCATTGGAGTGAAAAGGGATGACCTATGGGTGAACTAATGACTAATGGCTAGCTCAGGCACAGGAGTAAGACTCAGTCAGCTGATATTTTGGAGAATTACTATTTTAGTTGGATTTGATATGAATTGGCTTTGGCTTTTAATTTGTTTTGAATGCTATATCAGGCGTGTTTCTCTCACACTTTCAGATCTACACACTACCCTCCTCCCCCGCTATCCTCACTCATTGTACCGTTCATCACTGGATCTTTCCATATATTTGACAGCATCACCATGGATACGCCGGAAGAGAATGAATGATGGTTGTAGGCAGCCAATGAGGCAGTGACTTGAGGCGTTTTTTTCCCCTGTTCCAGTGCTTTTCTCTGATTGGTTGCCGCAGTGTCTGTTTTGCTCATTCATATATGGGAAATTAATCATGAACGGGAGAATAGTTGTGTAATATTGACAAATAAAAGTGATCTCAAACTGGGATTTTTTTTTTAATATTTTGAGACTGAGGGTATTTTTGTGTTGGTGCCTTGGCTGTTTTTTCAGTGAATATTTATTTATTTATTTATTTTTTAAAGAAATAGTTATTTTAATATGAAACTAAATCCAGATGTAAGTGATGGCAAGTCACTGTCTTAAGCGAGTCATTGAGTCATTTATTAACAGATTTGTTCAAATGACTGATTCATTCATTCAGGAGCAAAATCAAGTGACTGCATTTATGAATTGGTCATTGAAGCATCGACTCACTCGATTAATTCAAAAACACAGATTCATTCAGAGACATGCAATGGTTCTTCTGTGGCTTTTTTTGAAACAATTTTCATTGATGACAGACAATATTGACAATATTGTGTAAAAAAATGTATATCACCTAATATAAACTTGTTTATTCAGCTGTTGGATAAAATCAGTCACATTTGCAATCTATGAAAACAGCACTCTTGCATGTGAAATTGCTCAACTATATCACAAGATATAAATAAAAACAAAATCTCATACAGGGCATTTTTTCCCTCCATATCTTGAATTTTGGGGGCGTTCTGATAGGCTACATAACAAAATGAAAGCATGCACTCTCAAGACATACTCAATAATGTGAGCTCGCACACCGTTAAAACAATTATTATATCATAGTAGATGAAACATACTGCACACTCGTAAAGGGGAGTGTAAACGAGGGAACAGAAATTAGGCCACGAGTCAATAACATGTTTTCTTTCACCTCTATTCATCCTTCTGTGCTGAGATTAACACTCTCTCTTTCCTCTTCCTTTTCTTTCCATCTAGTCTCCAGATAAGCACAGAGCTCTAGAAGAAACCAAAAGCTACACCACTCAGTCTTTGGCCAGCGTAGCGTATCTGATCAACACTCTCGCCAACAATGTGCTCCAGATGCTGGATATACAGGCGTCTCAGCTACGCCGCATGGAGTCGTCCATCAACCACATCTCACAGGTGCTTTTTACTGCTATACAAACATCTGCTAGTTATACTTGTTGAGATGAGCAGGGTTGTACATTGCAGTTTTGTTTCCAAATTATTTTGCTTCTACATTCAGTTAATTTTCTAAAGCAAGCATCACTATTAAAATATTACTACTTAAAGTACAAGATTTATTCAAATCAATAACCCTAAGTATTAAACTTTGGCGCATTGCAGTACTTTTATATTAATCAAAATAGATTAATTATCTAATTTACAGTTGACAGTATTTTATTGTAAACTGACTTTTGATGTGTTTCCATGTGCATCTCTGCATACATCAATTCATACTCAGTCTTTGGCCAGCGTAGCGTATCTGATCAACACTCTCGCCAACAATGTGCTCCAGATGCTGGATATACAGGCGTCTCAGCTACGCCGCATGGAGTCGTCCATCAACCACATCTCACAGGTGCTTTTTACTGCTATACAAACATCTGCTAGTTATACTTGTTGAGATGAGCAGGGTTGTACATTGCAGTTTTGTTTCCAAATTATTTTGCTTCTACATTCAGTTAATTTTCTAAAGCAAGCATCACTATTAAAATATTACTACTTAAAGTACAAGATTTATTCAAATCAATAACCCTAAGTATTAAACTTTGGCGCATTGCAGTACTTTTATATTAATCAAAATAGATTATCTAATTTACAGTTGACAGTATTTTATTGTAAACTGACTTTTGATGTGTTTCCATGTGCATCTCTGCATACATCAATTCACATGACAACATTCCTCCACAGACGGTGGACATCCATAAAGAGAAGGTGGCCAGGCGAGAGATTGGCATCCTCACCACCAATAAGAACACTTCCCGCACACACAAGATCATTGCACCAGCCAATCCTGAGAGGCCTGTACGTTACATCCGCAAGCCCATTGACTACAGTCTGCTGGATGACTTAGGCCATGGAGTAAAGGTAGGGATGAAGCCAGTCTATACGTGTGACCAACTTGAACCTGATGCTAAACCTGCATGGGAAAGTAATTCGCCCTCGCACAAAATTCCCAAATTTCTATTGAAATGACTGCATTTCAACTGTGAAAATTTGCCAGAAAATAGTAGCTTTGTGTATTTTAAATAAAGCAAGTATTATTGTTGGTTTTAAAGAATGTTTGTAAAATGTGAAATAAAGTAAATTCATATGAGATTTTCCTTTACATAAAGGGCCATGTTAAGATCACATGACCAGCTGAATACTACTCACTTTATTTCTGTCTCTCCTCTGTTATAGGACATTTTGCCTTGTTAAATAAATTAATCATGGCTGACTGTGAATAGCTTTTGCGCATTTCTACTTTCATCCCGCTAGTCAGCTGCTATATCAGCCTGCAAATCATAAATAAAAAATTGTGCACCCTTTAATAATAATAATATTGCCAAATACCAGTATACTGTGCATCACCAGTTAATATGAATGTATTTTGCTTTGGATCATATGGACTGCGCTGCCTAACTAGCTGCTCTGTTTGTGTTTGCATGTGTGTGAGTTTCCCTTTACTCTTCACACTAACTGTTTGCATCTTTTCTCTCCTCACCTCTCTTGTTGCCTTCATTTCTGAGTGTAGTGGTTACTAAGGTTTAAGGTAAGGACTCAGTTGGTCTTTGGTTGGTGTGTGTTTTGTGTATGTGGTGGAATGTCCATGTCTTTACATCTGTTCTGATTCAGAATAATGATTTTTGACACTTACCCCCCACAGGTCAATGCCCAGAATATGAAAGTGGGTACAACTCCACGCACAGCTGCCCCGACCCAGAAACCACCCAGCCCTCCCGGCCCGGGCAAAGGAACCCTGGGGTAAGTACATTTGCAAATGCTTTTTTCCTTTTTTTTTTTTTTTTTTTTTTTTTTTTTTTTTTTTTTTTTTACTTTTATCTTGATGATATTTATAAAATGAAAGTAATAAAAATGACTGAGTGCATTTCAGCCTTCAGGTCTCAGAACATTTCAGCCTGATCTGTATTGTTTTTGTATCATATTTCAGTGCAAAAAGCTTAACTTGCATTATAAATGGACATCTAGGAGTGAAATAATACGATAAAAATGCATGAAATGACCCCTTTGAATTGTAAGATACTATTGTGCACGTGTTGATTTGGTGGTGGAAAAGGAAATTCTCTCTGTCACTTCTCTCCATCTCTTCTCTTATCTCTATTCCTGACAGCAATGCACGCACACATCTATGAATGTGTGTATTGTAGTTAACAGTTTTGGCTTATTCTCTGTTTAGGGACTGACACACTGAAGCGTTCTGGATCTGTGTGTTTCAGTCTTTGTGCTTTTTTCTGCCACTGCAGGTCACTGTGGAGAAAAGACTGTCATGTTGTGTTTGTGATGTGTTATTATTATTTTATGTCATTGAGTTTTTACAGCTGATGTGTGTTACTGTTAAACCTCCAATGTGTTCTTCCCGCTCATGCCTATGTCCACGGCCCCAACCCCTCACTGTCACCATTACAACACAACAGCCAACCACAAGCAATGCAGACAACCTTCTGTAATACAACACAACAGGCTCCTTTAGATATATACCGACACATGACAGATTCCTGCTAGTATGGGAAGCCAAAAACCCCAAAAGTGGGATGAAACAGCGCGGTATTAAAGAGTTCATGCCACGCCGCCGCTAGTGAATAGAGAAACGCGGCAAAACGGTGGTAATTCATACATACACAGCCCCTCTCTCTCTCTCTGTCGTAAATGAACAGTTGATGAATCACACTTTTCTGAGAATAGACTTGAAGTGGAGATAGCTAAACTGCAAGCTAAGCGGTGTTTTCAGAAAGCAAGCACGTTTATCCACTGGAGAGAGAGCGCGTGAGCACAGGGTTGCCAGGTTGACAAAGATAAGTAGCACGTTTAGCAGATATTTCTGTATTGCGCAAGTTTAAAGCTCTGTTTTGGGGATTACGTCTCTTTATATCAGGCAACCCCGTTGTGTTCCTCTGCGGCCAGATTATTAACAGATGCTCTATTCATTGTTTTTTAGAAACCTCGCACTTTTCTACTAAATTTTAAACGTTGTAAAATTAAGCGTGGTCCACTGCTGCACACGTGCCACAGTATCGATACAGGGCCAGCTGTATCGATACTCGTATCATTAAATCTCTGTGACGATACATCGTCGTATCGATATTTTGAACACCGCACTAATATATACACACAAGCTTCAAAGTAGTTAACACTACTTTATGTAGTAATATAAAAAGATAATAAGCAAATGAAATGTAGTAACTTAATACTAATCATTATTTTGTTACGTGCAGGGAAAAGCACATGAACTTCTGTGGAGCAGTATGAATAGAGTTATGTTTGAGCTGTGCTGTTTTAATTGATCAGCACCACGCTGGTGAGATTAGATAACGCTGTCCTGTCCGTTCGGTGGTGCTAGCAAACACTTCCTCCCTGCGCTGTCGAGTCGGTCGCGCCGCTCAGTCCATTGAGCCAGGCTGTTTCATGCGACTTTTGGTGTGCTTGGCTTCCCATATGCAAGGGCGGTATGACAATATATACTATGCAGCAGTAATAATGTATTGCTGGTAGGGTGTTCTACATTAAGTTACATTATTTACCCATGAGAGCAATGAAGAAACAGAGTAATGTAAAAATGCAGAGTGGGATGTGTCCCAAACAGGTTAAGATGAGGAAAAGGATTTTTGTTAAGTACAGTTGATAGTTGTTTACATTTGATGAGCTACATTACTATTATAGACTGAGCTACATTTCTGCATTATTTATTATAGGCTGCTGTGTGCTTACACTGGTGTATGTATGTCAGCTATTTAACAACAGTGTGTATTTGACTCCGCTCGCCAGAATTTAGAACCTATTTGTTTTATAATATTTTATTTACTATTTCTTATTTTGTGTACCAAAAGCTGACTTTTGATCAAATTTGTTATGAATAACCATTTCTTTTGGTTTGCATCCATCTAAATAAAAAATAGAAATTCATATTAGATGAAGATAAAGATTAACCAGTATTGCTTTTTATGACCAATACAATACGGATTATTTTTGTGTTTAAGTATCTTAAGTATCTTATTTATTTCTGCTTTTTATTTGTAATGTATACAGCAATTTTATATAAAACAAAAACATATATATAATAATACATAATAATAAAACATTTGTTTATTAACTAAACAATAGAAAATTGCATTTAGAAAATGCCATTAATAACAAATAATGTTACAGTAAATAAAATGATTTAATTCTTTCTCTGTGTCTAACTGTTAAGATAAAATGCTACATATTTCTCACTTGAGAATGAACTAACACTGTTATTTCCTGTTGAATGCATAGTGGTGTGACATTTATTGGTAGACATTTGTTGGTAGACTCTATTAGAGAACCACTAACTGAAAAGTAGAAAAGTGTAAAAAGTATTGGTCAAACCAATTTTTGGTCTACTTCTAATTAAGTGTTTTTCATTTGTTAAGTATTTAATTCACTAGATTATCATAAGGCATTGTAAGGCGATTGTTTATTATTTAAACCATTTAGTATCTTAAGTATCTTATTTATTTCTGCTTTTTATTTGTAATGTATACAGCAATTTTATATAAAACAAAAACATATATATAATAATACATAATAATAAAACATTTGTTTATTAACTAAACAATAGAAAATTGCATTTAGAAAATGCCATTAATAACAAATAATGTTACAGTAAATAAAATGATTTAATTCTTTCTCTGTGTCTAACTGTTAAGATAAAATGCTACATATTTCTCACTTGAGAATGAACTAACACTGTTATTTCCTGTTGAATGCATAGTGGTGTGACATTTATTGGTAGACATTTGTTGGTAGACTCTATTAGAGAACCACTAACTGAAAAGTAGAAAAGTGTAAAAAGTATTGGTCAAACCAATTTTTGGTCTACTTCTAATGAAGTGTTTTTCATTTGTTAAGTATTTAATTCACTAGATTATCATAAGGCATTGTAAGGCGATTGTTTATTATTTAAACCTATTATTATTATTATTATTTTAATTTAAAGCAAAAATAAAAAAATATAAGCAATACATTCTGATAAAATATTGATATTGTTGATCCAGTTATACAATTACTCATACCTTGATCTATTTTGGTCATACCGCCCACCCTAATCTACAAATAACTATAAATTAGACATGACACATGAGAGTTTGCTTTACGGTACTGTTGTGATGTTCTAAATGGATTTTTAGTCTACAAGATGTGACACAAGATCTCCCAGTATGTAATTATTGGGGTCTGTCATCAATGATGTTTGGCTCCACCCCTTAGTGGATATTAAAATATTTTAACCCCGCCCCCCTCGGCAGGCGCCACTCCCCTTACCGGACGCTCGAGCCTGTGCGTCCACCCGTCGTCCCTAACGACTATGTGCCGAGTCCAACACGAAACACCGCACCACCCCTGCAGAGCCCGGCTAGAACTGCATCCGTTAATCAGAGGACCCGCACGTACAGGTACTCATACACACACCCACGCTTACTCCACACACGCAGCATTATCCCCTGGACAGGCTTAAAAAAATCAACTTTGAAAAGGAAAAAAAGTTTCCTCACACTTTCTCACCCTCTTTTTCTGCTTCCTCTTTTCCTTTCCCGTCTGTCCTTCCTGTCGCTGTTGTTCCGTTTTTAAGCTGTCTTTGTTTGGTGTCTGTCGCAGTTTGACTTTCGGCCAAAGTAACAGTCACTCACTAACTTTCTCTTTTCTTCTCCTTTGCTTTCTATCTCTCTTGCTTAGGTCTTTTTTTGGGTTCAAACAGCCATAGCCTACTTAAAGAAGAGCTCTTTCCTGCTCTTTCACTCACCGTCTTTTTCTATTTCAGTCTTTCTTAACGGTATCTCTTCATCTCTTTGCTGTTTGCATTCTCAGTGCTCTGATTTTGAGAGTCTCGGGACAAACAGAGAGCACATAATTACATTCTTACAGAATGCTTCCTCCTCTTCTCAGATTCTCACCCACAATTCCTCAATTCATGACCAAGCGAGATGTGTATGAAGATATATTTCTTTGTAGATTCTATACATTAATACAGTACTGTTCAAAGTTGATTTTCTTTTTTCTTTTTTTTTTGAAAGAAATTAATAATTAAAACAAGGATGCATTAAATTGATCAAAAGTGACTGTAAAGACATTCAAAATGTTACAAAGGTTTCAGTTTCAACCTTTGAACTTTCTGTTCATCATGGAATGCTATCAAGGTTTCCACAGAAATATTAAGCAGCAGATTAGTTTTCAGCTGTTTTCGATTTATTTACTCCATTAATCAGGAATTGGACTGAAATTGATCATCAATGTGGAGTGATTTGTACATTTAGAAAACTCTGTAGTTTGACTCATGGTTAACCAAGCAACATTTTTTTAATTAAATTCTCTTAAAAATCTCTAAATACAGAATGTGCATTATCCATTGACAAGGCTGTTGATAGATTTCAAACTGACAAAAGAAGGAAATACTTATGTACTTTGGCCAAGTGGACATGAATGTTGGCTGATCTAATAATCTGACAACAGCCAAATATTGTCAGAATATTGGCCAGTCTTTTGTATCAGTCTGCCACTATTATTATCAACCGATCTGAAAATGGTCAAATATTCTTCATGGCCATTTCATCATTCCACCACTAGTTAGTCTGAAAATTACCAAGTATTGGAGATGGTCCTCACTGCAGAACACAAGATCCAGGGGGCGTGGTCCAGATCCAACTCCTCCCACCTTACATATACCTAAACCTACCCGTCTCCACCCCCTGATCCCTAAACCCACCATCTCCACCCCCTAGATGTGGATCCAACCTAACCCCCTGGATCTTTGTTCTGCAGTGAGGGGCTACTGGGGAGTATTGTCTTTATTACCTTTAGTCATCTATTGGTAATCTGAATATGGCCAAATACCAGCTAAATATCGGCCAGGCCAATTTAATTATTTTATCTGTAGTTATCAGCTGATAATCTAAAAAAAGCTGAAAATCTAAAAAAAAAAAATCAAAAATGGATTAATTAATTGGCCTGGTCAATGAAATTTTGATGAAACGTGCTGAAATGACCACTAGTTAGTCTGAAAATTACCAAGTATTGGAGATGGTCCTCACTGCAGAACACAAGATCCAGGGGGCGTGGTCCAGATCCAACTCCTCCCACCTTACATATACCTAAACCTACCCGTCTCCACCCCCTGATCCCTAAACCCACCATCTCCACCCCCTAGATGTGGATCCAACCTAACCCCCTGGATCTTTGTTCTGCAGTGAGGGGCTACTGGGGAGTATTGTCTTTATTACCTTTAGTCATCTATTGGTAATCTGAATATGGCCAAATACCAGCTAAATATCGGCCAGGCCAATTTAATTATTTTATCTGTAGTTATCAGCTGATAATCTAAAAAAAGCTGAAAATCTAAAAAAAAAAAAATCAAAAATGGATTAATTAATTGGCCTGGTCAATGAAATTTTGATGAAACGTGCTGAAATGATTTTTTTTTTTGTAAGGGACAGAACAGAATGAATTGTGCAAGGCTGAATGTGAGGCTGTTTTACAGCTAATTACTTTGTTAATGCTCACTTTATTGTGAATGATTCATTCTTTAAACTAAATGTAATAACATGTTCTTCCTTCAAAATGACATTTCTTTTCTGTTGACCATCACTACCTGATCTATTGAATAATGTAAACCAAACAGTTATTTAGCCCTTATATTAAGTCTGACTCCATTCTGGTACAACTGCTTTTGGGAATCTAATCAGTTCTCGAAAGGCAAAAATGAAGTCCCACCCTACATTTTTCCCCCCTTAGTTCCCTATCCTGTTTGACTCGGAAATACGTGACGTTATGGAAGTAAAAAGTTCATGCCGCGCTGACTCCTGTTATAGGCACAGATCTTGACCATTGGCAACTGACCTTAACTTGCATGATGTGTTTTATGTGTGTCAGTAGTGGCAGCAGCGGCGGCAGTCAGCCCAGCAGTCGCAGTAGCAGCAGAGAGAACAGTGGGAGTGGAAGCGTGGGTGTGCCCATCGCCGTGCCAACACCAGCCCCGCCCACCGCCTTTCCCGGTGAGATTCCTGCTCTTTGTGTAATTAAGTATTAGTAAATGAATCTGAGAACTGTCCAAGGTTCTGAAGGAAGTATTATTGTTACTGTATTGAAGGCTATTTCCTGTCCCACTATTAGCGATGATAACTTCTCTTTCTGTTCACTGCCTCTTTATTTCTTCTCTTTTAACTCGCTGCACCTATCCCTCCTCCCTGTGGCCCTGTTTTTCCTTTCGATCTTTCTTCCCTCTTGTTCTCTTCTCCCCTGGGTTTCCTGTCTCTGTATGGGGCTGCAGGTACAACACCTGCCCAATTTGGTCCATCTCTACTTCCTGTTTGTGCTTCTTAGGGACTATTTTGGGGTCTTTCTTTTTCTTTTTATGTTTCATAACAAATCAAAGTTAGGAATTTATCACGGGCCAACATATGTACATGGACAGATTGGTTTGAGGATCATATTTTTCTCTATAGCTCTGTTCCAAAACTAGTGATCTGCATACCTAGACAGTATTTTTAAGACAAGATATTTGTTGTCTTCTAGGATGCATCGTTTAGGCAGCATTACATGTACCCTTCAAGGTAATTCCATAATGCACTCTGACAAGCTCAGTCAAAATTGATCCAATACTATGGCCGAGCAAGAGAAATGTTTATAGCGATGTACCATATTTAATGGTATTGGCCAATATTGGAGTTTTTTTAGATTAATTTGTGGATGCTCATTTCCCCTACTTTTACATTTTAAATGTAGATTACGTTTGTTGTCATTTAATAGTTACTTAAAATCTTTAAAGGAATAGTTCACCCAAAAATAAAAATTGTGTCATTTACTCACCCTCATGTTGTTCTTTCTTCTGTTGAATACAAAATTAGATATTATAAAGAATATTGGTAACCAATATACTGTTGAAGTCAGTGGCAGATTTTGCATTTGGTTCAAGTTAGTTACACAAATTTGCTGCATTGATCAACAGAAAGCTGCTTGATTTGAAAGTGGCTTGCGTGTGAGTGATTCTTTTTGCAACGCTGTTGATAATGACACAAGCTAATGTAGGAAGTTGGTGAGTGTTCAAATATACAGTACTGCTATGGACAGCAGTCAAAAATATTTGACACTTGTATAGAGTTGTTGGCTTAACTGTTAGCACTAGTTGTGTCTCTTGTGTATTTATAAGTGCTACTTTTGCAGACCTGCTGTCTATGTGGTGTGATCCACATCAGTGTTCATTTCAGGTATGATGCTGCCTGGGAAGGTAGCTGCATTAGCAGAGAGTGAGGCGGCTCACTAGGGTTTGGTCAGAGCTTGTGTTTTCAGTTAATTCCATATATCGTTGAATGTATCGTGGTCTGCCTATTGTGTATCCCATACTGCGATTCAAAAAGAAGCAACAGAATTAGTTTTATTAATTAATTTTCTCTTTGTCTCCCAGGCAATGGTCCTCACTTTTACAGTATGAACCGGCCAATGACACGGCACACCTCGCCCTCAGTGGGAGGTTCCCTGCCCTATCGCCGGCCGTCATCAGTTACTGGACAGCCCAACAACATGCCTCAGAACACAAATCCAAACATGATCCAAAACCAGCTTAATGGAGGGCCACACTACAACCAAAACCAAGGTAGACACACTAGACATGCTCTCAAGTGTCCATAGAAAGGTAGAAAATTAATACAATACCTAGAAGAGGAGCTTGTTTGTATGTGATTTAAATCAGTGGGCTCGGTCTTACTGGCTTGATCTGATTGCGCTCTCTCTCTTCTTTAACTTGCCATCTCCTACGGTTTTCTTGTCAACTTCCTCTTTTCATTCCTTATGTTTCACCCACACTAAATTTTTTTTGTTTCCTTCCCTTTCTGTTTTTTCTCTCTGAACTGAATTACCCCTGTTGTTGGGGTGGGTAGCCCCTATGGCCCCTCCGCCCCCTTCTATTCTCCAGATCACCCCCCAGCTACCGCTCATGGGCTTTGTGGCTCGGGTTCAGGAGACCAGTAAGTTATCCGTTTGGGAAAATACTCTCAAATATATGGAAGCCTGTTTCTGCTGCAGAATAAAAAAAAATATTTTTTTTATTTCACAAATGTGACCACAAAACCAGTCTTAAGTTAAAATACATAAAAAATGCATTGTATGGGTCAAAATTATCGATTTTTCTTTTATGCCAAAAATCATGAGAATGTTAAGTAAAGTTCATGTTCCATGAAGATATTTTGTAAATTTCCTACCATAAATATATAAAAACTTAATTTTTGATTAGTAATATGCGTTGCTAAGGACTTCATTTAGACAACTTTAAAGGCGATTTTCTCAATATTTAGATTTTTTGGCACTCTCAGATTCCAGATTTTCAAATAGTTGTATCTCGGCCAAATATTGTCCGATCCTAATAAACCATACATCAATGGAAAGCTTATTCGTTCAGCTTTTAGATGATGCATAAATCTCAATTTCTAAAAATTGACACTTAAAGGTCGTTTCACACTGACCGCGATGTGAAAAAGCGAGGCGAATCGCCGACGAACGTTGCTTTCACACCGAGCACTAAACGATTGATCACCTTCTGCTAATTCACGCCTGCATGCTAGGTGGTGCTGACCAGCAATGCATTTTTACTCCGATATGTATCTCATATATGGGTTTAACATCGTCCACTGCTCAATATACAGCATTAAATATAGCTAAATAAAGTTTGGTTCTACGCCAGAACCACAAACTATCTATAATGCTTACAAGAAAACATCTTAAAATATAAATATAAGTACAATTAGCATCAAGCAACATTTGAAAATGTATGTGATTATTAATGTTTTTGCTTAAAACCCACTATAAACCCATCATCGAGTGCTTGTAATAACTTCCGATTGTGATCTATAGTTGATTTTGATTCTATAATAGGCAGACAATACACTCTTTGTAGGCTATGTTTAATAACGTCACACTGCTTATTGTCATAAATATCCTTTATTGTTATAAAATTACCATGAGCTGCATACAAAACACATACAGAAAATATATCGTCATAATCATGTCTATTTGCTTTCATATTTCATGTGTAGAAAAATGTTTCACTCATTTTTTTTAAACACGGAAGATCTAGAGAGTTAACGCGCTCTGACTAATAACACTCGTGCAAGTGGAAGAAATGGACACTCCAGATCACATAATTCAATGGAGAATTTAGAAATTATATTAAGAACATGTGAGAATAAATCTGTTCACAGAGACCAAAGATAACAAGAACTCAGCATCCACTATCTTCTCTCCAGTGGTGGACGAAGTACACAAATCAAGTACTTGAGTAAAAGTACAGATACGTATAATAAAATATTACTAAAGTAAAAGTTTAACTTTTTCAATTTTACTCGAGTGAAAGTACAAAAGTACTTGATTTTTTATGTACTTAAGTAAAAAAGTACTGATAGATAGATTTATTTTGCAATTTTATAGTCTTAATTACTTAATTTAATTTTATATTAGCACATATTTTTTATAATCCTACTGCTCAAAATACCTGGGATTTTCCCAAAATAACCACTATATGGAGTAAAGATATATTTTTGTTGTTGATATGGACTACGTTGACGAGAGTGATGTAGTAATGTTCACTATGAAGCTTACACTGCGATGTACCTGAGAGAAAACGGATCTGACCGTCTGATTTTCACCAGTAAGAAAAAAGTGTTTTAAAGCTTGTTGTTTTGCAGAACATCACAGTTATATATGACATGAGAATACGGCCTGAAGTTAAGAAGAACATTTTAAGGAAAATATAATTATATTTTCATAATGATTTTTTTCTTGTCAAACCTTGTCTGTGGTGTAAAAACACCCCTGGCCAAATGCCCCCAGAGTGCATCACTTCCCACTTTGATAATTACTGTAGTTACCATGTTCT